TCTACGGAACTATTGGACCCGACTACGCCGACAAGCGATATCCCGCACCTGCAGCCTGGTATTACCGTTATGGGTGCGATATTGCGAGACCATACGGAAAGTACAAGAGCTGCATGATTGCTCGATACTCACTTGTGGTTGCGATTTACATGCTGTAAGTGTCCCATTATAAGATGCATCTCACTTTTATTGACAATGACACAGTCTGATCTATCTCTTCAACCTGGGCTTCTCTATCTATTCCATGTTGCCTAACAAGATCAACGATATTCCCGACGAGGATGAAGAAGATGGAGGATCCACCACTTCGGAGCCGAAGGAGGGAGGTGTTTGGGAAATGCACAACATGAAGACCCCCAGCATTCGAGCGATGCCATATACTCCTCGAACACAGGCTTTCCATACCTTGGATCGCCAATTGCCGCTGCGGTCTCATCAGAACAGGTATGGCTGAACGGAGATGGGTAGAATTGAAACGAACGAGAACATGCCCATCGATCGGGCCACTATCCTTAATTAGCATTAGGTGTTTGGAGTTTGGGATGATAATACCAAGAAACAAAAGTTGAGGCCCAATGAGGCTCAACTTCTATATTAGCTTTCATCTATCAGAGTACATAAGATATTTACATACAATATTGAGTCTCTTAGCATTCATTCGCGAAAACTTGCCTATTGCGGTAGCCAACATGGCACAGCCGCTAAGTAAGATACGGGATGAGCTTGAGCATCCTCAGAGCTCCACAAGGGTTGTTGAGCTTATCGTCGAAGTTGAAAAGGGCAACTAAAAGGAGAAGACTATCTAAATACTGGAGCTATCGCTAGAAGGACTTAGGTGTCCCTGCACATACCCGGGCCGGTACCGACGGAGCCGGTTCTGGTGGTTGAAGTGCCGGCTCCGGGGTCGGACCCCACACAAGCTTGAGCCCGAGCTTTAAGACGTCACCCCGCCATCACTAACTTGACGTTATCCATTTCCATCATCGTTAAGGCGTGAGAGTAATTGGTTTACCCTCGATTCTCTCGATTACCTATTGCTTCAATTCGCAAGCCGTGATTTCGTTATTTGTTCTTCAATTGGCAATTAAGTATTATTCATCATGGCTCTTCTTCAACGCCTGGTCGCTCCCTCATCGCGAGGTGCTCTGCGACAATCTCCAGCGATTGCCATGATGATTACGCGGAAAGCGTCCAACCTTTCTCCTCCCAAGGTATTAAGATCTCTCAACACGCTACTGTAGTCACAGAATTAACACCATGCAGCTCAAGGATCCTTCTCTCCTCAAGCAGGACGTCTGCTACGTCAACGGCGAATGGGTCAAGGCCCAGTCAGGCAAGACATTCAAAGTGAATGGTGAGCTTCGGCGTCTTCAACATATTCTCCGCAAAAACTAACCATTCAGACCCTTCCACCGGCGACCTCATCGGTACCTGTCCCGAATTCAACTCCAAAGATACCCAATTAGCTATTCGCGCTGCTGCCGATGCTTTCCCTTCGTTCCGCGCCAAGACCGGCCGTGAGCGCTCCAAGCTATTGCGCGCTTGGTACGACCAGATGACCGCCAATGCTGAGGATATCGCAAAGATTATTACATGGGAGAATGGAAAACCTATTGCTGACGCCAAGGGCGAGACGACCTATGCTGCTAACTTCCTCGAGTGGTTCAGTGAGGAAGCTCCACGAGTATATGGTGACACTATTCCGAGTTCAGTGCCTGGTAACCGTGTGTGGACCATCAAGGAGCCCGTGGGAGTTTGTGGTTTGATCACACCGTAAGGCGGCCTCGTACATTGAAGGTTTATCGCTGACTCCTCTTAGATGGAACTTCCCTGCCGCCATGATCACCCGAAAGATTGGCCCTGCTCTGGCAGCAGGTTGCACAGTTGTCGCAAAGTCCCCTGCCGAGACGCCCTTTACATCGCTAGCCTTGGCTGAGCTGGCCCACCGTGCAGGTATCCCCAAGGGTGTTGTCAATGTTGTTACTTCACACGAGAACACCCCCGAGCTCGGTGAGCTTATTACTTCTGATCCTACCATCAGAAAGGTCTCCTTTACCGGTTCCACCGGGGTCGGCAAGCTTCTCATGAAGCAGTCATCTGGAACCCTCAAGAAGCTCTCGTTGGAGCTCGGCGGCAACGCTCCCTTCATCGTCTTTGATGACGCCGATGTCGATGCCGCTGTGGCCGGAGCTATCGCCTCCAAGTTCCGATCTTCGGGTCAGACCTGCGTTTGCGCCAATCGAATCTATGTCCAGCGCGGCATTTATGATGAGTTCGTGAACAAGTTTACCGAGAAGGTCAAGGCCTTCAGTGTAGGCAACGGCTTCGATCAGGGTGTTACTCACGGACCTCTGATCCACGACCGAGCGATCGAGAAGGTTGAGGCTCATGTCAAGGACGCCGAGAAGAAGGGCGGAAAGATCACCATTGGTGGTCAGCGACTCAACAACCTGGGATCCAACTTTTACGCGCCCACTGTTATTCGTGACATGACTTCCGATATGGATATGGCTTCCCAGGAGACCTTTGGACCCGTCGCAGGTCTCTTCCCCTTTGAAACAGAAGAGGAGGTGGTTAACTTGGCCAACAACACCGAGGTCGGTCTGGCAGGTTACTTCTTCTCTCGAGACCTCGAGCGCGTCTACCGTATTGCTGAGTCTCTTGAGGTGGGTATGGTCGGAGTTAACACGGGTATCATCTCTGATGCTGCCGCGCCTTTCGGTGGTGTTAAAGAGAGTGGATTCGGTCGTGAGGGTTCGTTGTACGGAATCTCGGAGTACCAGATCACAAAAATGATTACATCTGGAGGCATGGGCAAGCCTCTTCAGTCATAAGTAAATATGAATAGCGAAAGTCCAACTTGATGTTTAATGAGAAACAAAGCTGTCGCCAGCAAAGCGAATCACGATATATCTCTCATGGTGTTGAAAGAAAGGCTACTGTGTTATTCCTAAATAATCACTAAAAACTCCTGTCTATTTTATTATCTCTTACCCAAGTTAGGCAGGGTGTCGATCTTTGAGCGGCCATAAACAGGTGTCAAGCAGGGCATGTTAATTGCCTTATTTGATTTGATTTGGAACGCTGCCTGCGACATGGCAGGAGTCGAGCTTAACTGGTCGACTTACTTCATTCGACAGGCAGAAACGGTCAGACGCTTTACTAGAAAGTCGGCCGAGAAACGCAAAGGGACGCAAATGCATCTCGCCTAGGGGCTTCGTCGCCATAAGAAGACTCGCATAATTCTGCCAGAAGCATTAGCTCGACGGACTTTTATAAAAAAAAAACTCTTAACCCCTTCTATGCTGAGAATTTTGCTGCATTCAATGGTAGCTGGGTTGGCGGTATCTGCAAAGTGTTTTCCATGAAAGGGGTCACGACGCGACAGACGTCTGAATGGAGAACCTCGACTGCTTACAATCCAGTCTACCAGACTTGTCTCCAAAACTTCCGGGAGAATCATACCGAGAACCTACTCAAGGCACGACAGCGCAAGGCAACCGAGGAATGGAAGGCTTCTGAAGGTGCGCGGAGGATGAAGAAAGGCCTGACAAAGGGGCCCAAATCTCGACGATATGTAATGGGTGACAAGTGGAGATCAGAGCCTTGAAGAATTCCTACTAAGGACGTCAATTAATTGCGGCAGATTCAGTCTCCTTGAATTTGTGTCAGCAGGGCCCCCAAGAGATGCCCATGAAACTCCACACAAACGCACTCAATCAAGGCCAGAAAGGTATTTTCTACGAATACACATTGTCTTTTAGGACACTGCCAGGCGATCCAGTAAATAATCGATACTTTATCTAACTTTAGGATAAGTTACTATAATTATTAGAGCATATTTAGGCTAAAGATTTACTAAAGTGCCTAAAGTATTTTATTATTCCTTACCTAACGTTAGGTAAAGTGTTATCTGCCACTCCTGGTAGGTTGGGATGGAAAAACGATTGAGGTCCCGGATGTGATGGGTTTCTACATGCAACCCAGCCGCACCCAGCAAAGTAGCTGTCCACGTCTAATACAAGTGTCAACAACGCAAGCATCAACAAAAACAAACTTGTGGTGAGGACTTCAGGGCTCTACAGAGAGATACAACGACTTTTAGTAGTACTATGCTAAAAGTGTACAGACTATTGGCTGGCTCCATGATGATTTTTGGGGATTTTATATCTGTATTTGCTTTTAACACAGGTCTGGGTCTATGCTAGCTGGGCTGTATGATGGGCTTAAATTTGATGAGTAGATACCTTTCTTTACTCCTAAAAAGTACTGAGCTATCTATTTGATCGTCCGCGCGGATCATCAAAGCTTTATTTAGCAAGGCAGCGGAAACAATTACTGCTCTGTCAGATTCTATCCTCGTGAATGAGAATGAAATAGATGAGTAAGGAAATCCAGGCACTTCGGCGACTTTGTGTTAGACGGAATGTTTTAAATCAACTATCTTCACTGTTGCGACGAGCTGGGAAGGACAAAAAATGACACTGTCTATATAAACTATTTGAGAAAAAAGGATGTTCAGAGGTCGACACTAAGAAAGGAATCTGGGCGTACCTGGCCCCCTGGAAACCCTGCTCCATGTGTCTCACATATTTGTCTCTTATACCCTCAATCAGAATGATTAACTAACGAGTTCTACGACATAAAACAACTGAACCAGTAGCACTGGCGTCAACAAGAAGGAGTAGCAAACAAAGCGCTAAGTCATAGCGCAGTATTATGGCAACAGGGCTATTTAGGCGATAACAGTTTAATGTCGTTAGAATAGACAGACAGATTTATATACCAACCAAAGAGTTGCCTACTTCAGTAATATATCTTGCCATAAGAATGAGTGGTCACAATTGAACCAATCCTATGGCCCTACTAAATTTAGGCTAACGTAAGTGGGGACGGGAGGTTCCATATTACCCCGCAAAAACGTGGTGTTCCTACTCGCTAGGACAAAGGGACAAAAAGACAACTTGTCGGTGTGTCAACACCAACGTGAGGAAGACATATGATCGTGGCAGGGTTCGAACCTGCGATCCCTTGTGTTTTTGATTGGAAACGCTCCATTATGTAAGACAAGTGCCATAACCACTAGGCCACACGACCTTGATTTTCTCTGAACTTTAACCCGTTATATTCGCTTCCACATTGCAGATACCAAGTCCGGGTCATTTTAGATGATCACTAGAGTACATATAAGCTGACAACAAAATATAACATTAGTAAACCAGTACACAGCATCTAGGTGATACTTCTATGCTTCAAATAGTGTTGTGGAATCTCATTTGTTGTTCCATATAAGTATAAGTCTCCTAGGAGTTGAATGGTAAATAGCCATTCAAGTCAACAACACACTTACTAGTAAGGTGGTGAGAAGGCAGGATTAGGGGGTTAGACATATCTGCCGGCGTGATTCTTAAAAAGAGATATGCTGGGCTTTCTCAATGGTCAGCGTCTACGTTTTTCAGTTCGACCGAAGTGTAGGGTATGATGCTGTGTTATTGTACGAAAGCATCAGCGTAGATCACACACATTGAGAGCTGGAGGGCATTTAGGAGGATCCTTGCTTAGAAGGCAGAACAACTACAAAGCTTTGAGAGTACTGGTACAATCACTAATTCTGTTTATCTTGAATCCATATGTTTAAGGAGCCTCTTGTAAGGAATTTCGACATCTCACTCAATCAACTCGAGCATATTATATCAGCATAACTTGGTCGATATCACTTCTCTATGAGAAAGCAAAACATTTGTATTATTAGGAAAGAAACGTTCTTAACCAACGGGCCTAACTAACACAAAGCAGTTCTAGTTTTTTAAACCCCTCTCATCCTACCAGGAACTTAGCTATCAATGGCGAGTTTGACTGGATTTCTCTGGTTGTGACTTGTGAGAGCCACTATGGCATGTTTGGTGTCTTCCTCACATGAGCGTCCACCGCACAACAATCATATCACCATTCTCTCAATTTCAACAAGTTTAAATGCTCTTCACTAAGCTTCGCAACTCTGTAAAGTTTTCTATGAATTTATTTCTATGACTTTTTGTTGATTCCATCGCGGGGTCTCAGTCCCTGGTCAAGGGCCTCTTATCTTATCACCTGAAACCTGGCTGATCTGACGTCGTGCAGGAATTTCGACCTCTTCACCCACCATCAACATTCAAGGCTCTTCTTACAACCACACACTCGCTACAATGTCAGTTTCACGAGCCAATGGGCCTCTAAAAAACTGCCTGCGCCAGCTGGCGCGTTCGGAGGGGTAAGTCTCGCCGTATACCTATCGCTGGAAGCTCGAACATGGAAATCATGCAAATCGACTGACATCGGCCACCTAGACCAGCTCCCCTCCGGTCGATGGCCGCCAGCCCTCGTCTCTTCAGCACCTCCCCCTCGTTGCTCAAGAAGCGCAAGATTACGGCACCCAGCAATAGCCCGAACAGCCCCAATGCCAAGGCCGCCGCGGGCTCCATGAACAAGGCCGAATTCGACACGGCAAAGGTGCCCATGCCTGACCCCGAAGACCCGCTCGATTTCACAGCCGTGATCGCCGCGTATGCCCCCGTGGATGCGCACTTCAAGACGCAGCTTGCTGGTATGGTCCACGGTGGACGTTTCAACCCCACAAATCTGGGCTCGCTACCTGTGCCGGTCAAGGACGAAGAAGGCGGCGACGTTACGTTCCCTCTACGAGAGCTGGCGCAGGTAGTGCCCCGATCAGGTCGTTCCATTTCATTGTTGGTACACGACAAGGAGTACATCAAGCCTATTATGTCGGCGGTGCAGTCAAGCCGCGAGTTCAACCAGCAGCCTCAGCGATCTGAGGACAATGAGCTCGAGCTGCTGCTAAAGGTGGAGCTAGAACGCAAGGACGACGTTGAGAAGCGCATCAAGGAAGCCGTGCAGCAGTGGAAGGATCGCATCCGCAACGCGAGGTCCAGACATGAAAAGACGCTCAAGGACTGGAAGAAGACTGGTGCTGTGCTCCCAGACATCGTCAAGAAGGCCGAGAAGGAACTGCAAAAAGTGCAAGACAAGAAGATGAAGGAGATTGATCAAGAAGAGGCACAGACAATCCGTCAGCTATAGACGCACATGCTGCGGTATATGTATTTGTATAATAGATGCAAACAACATTGTAGTATTACATATCGTGACAAGTGTACACTGATCCTAAGATCTAACACATTTTTAAGCGCGCGCCTTATTTCCACCCTTTCCAGCACCCGCGCCCTTCTTGGTCAAAAGCGACGTCAACTTATTCTCGAAAGAGTTGACATCGTTGGTAGAGTATGTCTCGGCCCGGAGATGCCATGAGCGAGATAGACCAACAGGGTCTGACGCAAACTTGGGCGTCTCATGCTGACCCTGGATGGCTCGCTGTGTGATGACATTGCGGACAGCCTCCTCAGTGTCAGTGATGATTGGGCCCTTGGACTCTGTGCCATCGGCCTGGAGCTTGTTCTGGAGGTGCTGCTCAGCATTCTTCTTGGCATCAACATCGGCAAAGAAGCGAATGCCGCTCTCCTCGATTTCTGAGGCATAGTAGCGAGTCTGGAAGGATTGTGGTGCGCCGACATGGTCAGCTGTGCCGAGGACGCTGAGGTTTTGGAGAACAGCAGCCGACTTTCCAGCAGCAGTGTTTGGTGCAACAGGTGCAAATTCATTGATAGACTCGAGTGTCAACGAGGGTGCGTAGTCGGAGGTCATGCCATATCGGATGCTATCATCAAAGGACTTCTCGTCAGGGTCCAGTGTGTCGAAGTCGTCCCGGTTCTTCCTGTCCTTGTTCTTATCGTCGTCATCCCTTCGTCGGCCGTCGGTTCTTCCTCCACGTCCACGTCCACGTCCTCGACCTCCACGACCTCCACGACCTCTGGCACCGAATCCTCCACGGCCACCGCGGCCTCTTGTAGACGTTCCGAATCGAGTGGGTGAAGATGGACGGCCCTGAGCGCCCTGAGCCGAAGCCCCTCCTCTTCCTGTGAATCCACCTCGTCCACGGAGTCCACCCCGCCCACGAAGTTCACCACGACCACGGAAACCCCCTCGGCCGCGCATGGGCAGATTCTTTATGTCGAGGACCTTGGGACCGCCAGCCTGGCCGGCAGGACGGCTCTGGCTTCGAGGGGCCGGCTTCGGTGTACTGGGGGGGCCATTCGCATCGGCGGCCTGGATTTGCGTAGTCGAGAATTGGCGGAAGTAGTTTTGGAAACTGTTCGAGGCCTGCTCGAGCTCTGGCCTTGTCCTGCTGCACACCGAACGAAAGGCGTGGCGATGCATTTTGCTTGTGGTTGTCTGATGTGGTGAAGCTGATTGTCAGTACCTACTCTAGACGATCAATTTTCTGCCACCAGCAAAGGTATGACTAAGCTAGAAACACACCGCCATTGGCCAATCATTTCTTAGCAATTACACGTTGGTAGCTCACTCTCAGTTATCAGATTTATCATATCAACTTAATTAAAGAAACTTGGAGATCAAGGATGCAAAATTACTAGGAACTGGCTGTCTACTCAATTCCTGACGTCAAGTACATGCAAGATCGCCGATCCTGCTATTGGCCCAGGACTAACTCTATGAGGCCTCTTGTTCCCAATCCTCCAAATCATCAAATCCTTTACAAGTGCGCCTCAAGGCATAAGCCCTTCCTAAACTCCAAAGCGTATACACAGCGGCGCTATGCTGGGCCTTGCGTGCCGATACAACCATTCCAGGTCGTTTGGTTAGGACAGTTACGTCCGTCACTCGGAAGCAGAGGCCTTGACCGTCTACGGCTATCACACCTTGGTACTTGGCCACTGCGTACCGAGTGTACTTGTTCTCGGCATCAAGACCACATCGTGGACCTTGTTCATACTCTGGTTCGAGAGTTGTTCTGTTTGCGCCGTTCTTTCTGTTCAAAGCCTGACAGCATTTTCCGGGTCGCCCTCGGAACTGCCATCATTCGTTGTAAATGAATGTCTCATGATAGAGGGAGCTGGCATAAAAAGTCGGATTCGTATATAAGATTGCGTATGCCATTATACGCTCTGAGGTTGGACCAAAGCGGGCTATGACATGTCAGAAAAGTCATTTCGACTGTAAGATTTACATACCGGACTGTTGAGCATATGCTGTCGCTTGTTTCGGCTCTTCTTGATGTGGCTCTTGAGAGCACTCGAATCGAGGGGCTTGAGAAGCTCAAAGCTGCAGAGTAGCTCCGCGGATACCGACATAACGGCGCCCCAGTTATCGAATTCGCCGCAGTACTAAACAAATTAGCCGGTTTTCCGAGGAGATGCAACAGATAACGTACATTAGGGGCACTGAAGACTGTGACTAGAACCCTGTCGTTGAAGAACTCGTAGCCATCCTCAACCACCATGTGCGCACGACAAATCAAATCAAAGTCGTGTACAGCCAAAAACTCGGTAATGACTCGTTTACCGAAGCAATAGCTAACTCCTCTCTCATTGGCTTCCCAATCCTGCTCCATGTCTGCAGGATCCGACCAAAGAAGATCGTTAAGTAGTCCGTAATCGGGCACATCGGTTGGTCGAGCAATGTTTCGAATATCGTCCATGTGAACTAGCGCTGGTGATAATCCTCCATGCACACAGAAAATCTTGCCGGCGACGATGGCAGCAATAGGTAGAGTGTTAAAGCAGTCAATAAACGTCTTCCAGATTTTGACATTGCACCTTCGCTTGCATTCATCGTAGAAGCCGTAAACTCGTGTTACATTAGCGCACTCGTGATTTCCGCGGAGGAGGAAAAAGTTCTCGGGGAACTTGAGCTTGTAGCAGAGGAGCAGCAGAATAGTCTCCAGAGACTGCTTGCCTCGGTCAACGTAGTCGCCGAGGAAAAGATAGTTCGAGTTGGGAGGGAACCCGCACATCTCAAACATGCGGATAACATCGGTGTATTGGCCGTGGACATCGCCCACAACCTTGACTGGGGCATCCAATTCCAAAAGAGCGGGCTGCGACAAAAAGACTTCCCTAGCCCTCTGGCAAATGGCAACAATCTCGGCATTCTTGAGACAGACGCTCTTGGTCACCTTTCCAGCATAGCCTGCGTCTAAGAGTCGCTTAATAAAATCATCCAAGTCAATATCCTTGATCTCA